ACTCCTATAATAGTAGCTAAACAGTATTATTAAGCATAATATTATCTGCTAACCTACTCCCATTGAAGGAATGATACATTAAATTATAGTATATGGTCACGTTATTATATACAATACTATAATTATTACAGTTGTTTACTGTATCAACCATTTACTTATTACAACATTTTAAAACTGCTTGAAACTTTACACACAACTTCATGAAATTAGTTATAGGTCTTTGACCAAGACACATAACTCTAGCATGGATTTGCACTAGAATTATTCCCCTTTGTTTACTTGAAAATTTCCTGGTTGAAGTTTTGTGCTCCAAAAGTATTGACACTTCACACATCTTCTTGGTTATTGTTGTAAATCACTCAGCAAGACACCTAACTCTAGCATATATTTCCTTTTTATAATTCAGCTAAGTGAACTAAGACAATTTGAAGAGGCCTTGTTTGACAATGAAATATTGAGAATTGTTGAGCTAACTTGAGCATGCTATCCAACTAACATCTCTTGTTTAATGTCAATGTAAATGAGATCATTTTTTTGCAAAATATATTTTGATACAAGTATCTACATGGTACCCCCATAAAATCACTTCTAATCTTAATAAAATCAGAATTAATGAACCATTCTTTAGTAACATTATACATGTATAGGGAATATAAAAGTACTACATCTGGATATTTTTTACGTTTACGGTTAAGCATTTTATTTAATTTTAATGGAAAAGGTAAGATTATTTTCTCGTCCCTATAGCGCAGACTTTCAAACTGATTTTATAGCAAGTGTCAACCAAAATAGTAGAAAAAATGTCAAAAATTTGAAATTCAACATTCTTACTGTTGTATAAATGGACATAAATTGGTTTTCCTTAAGTCATTTTCAATGAAAGTTTAACCCATTAAAGTGTTTGCTATGTGAAAACTTTCCTGTGTTATTTCTTCTTCTCATTCACTACTGTACTTTATTTTACAATTAACTTTCCCTTAATCCTAGGTAAACATTCTTAAATCGCATTTGGGCAGGTATAATTACATTCCTGAACACTTACCCTATGTACACCCTTAGTTCCCATCCAGTATTTAATAAGTTCAAAATGATTTCAAGGATTTGATAAAAACATTAACTCTGACTGACCAAACTATGTTACATATAAAATGACCAAACTATGTTACATATAAAATGACAAAGGTCAGGTTGTTAAAGTTGATGAACCCCAGCAAGAGAGAAAGTGACCAATAGTATAAACCCAAGCCTGGGCTTGCACAACCATGCAGACTTTATTCATCAATTCCACTATCATATAATTTAGATTTCAATTTAGTGACCTTATTGATGTTGTTTTTTATGCCACCGCAGCATCTGCGATGCGGTGGCATATAGCGATTCACCTGTGTGTGTGTGTGTTTGTTTGTGTGTGTGTGTGTTATATAGATTATATAGTGAACTTAAAAAATCTTCTTGTGAAAAACCACTAGTCCAATTTCAACCAAACTTGGCAGGGTTGATCCTTGGGTGAAGGGGTTCCAAAGTTGTTCAAAGAATTTCATTCCATGCAGAAATCTGGTTGCCATGGCAACCAAAAGGAATTATAAGAATAAATTTAAAAAATCTTCTTGTACAGACCCTAAAGGCCTAGAGCTTAGATATTTTGCATAAGGCATTGTCTGGTAGACCTCTACCAAGATTGTTCAAATTAAAGCCCTTGGGTCAAAATCGGCCCCGCCCCGGGGGTCATTGATTTTCACTATATGTACATATAGTAAAAACTTGAAAAACCTTCTTGTAAAGACCGAAAAGGCCTAGAGCTTAGATTTTTTGCATAAGGCATTGTCTGGTAGACCTCTACCAAGATTGTTCAAATTATAGCCCTAGGGTCAAAATCAGCCCCGCCCCGTGGCAACCAAAAGGAATTATAAGAATAAATTAAAAAAATCTTCTTGTAAAGACCCAAAAGGCCTAGAGCTTAGATATTTTGCATAAGGCATTGTCTGGTAGACCTCTACCAAGATTGTTTAAATTATAGCCCTGGGGTCAAAATCGGCCCCGCCCCGGGGGTCATTGATTTTCACTATATGTACATATAGTAAAAACTTAAAATACCTTCTTGTAAAGACCGAAAAGGCCTAGAGCTTAGATTTTTTGCATAAAGCATTGTCTAGTAGACCTCTACCAAGATTGTTCAAATTATAGCCCTGGGGTCAAAATCGGCCCCGCCCCGGGGTCATTGCTTTTCACTATATGTACATATAGTAAAAACTTAAAATACCTTCTTCCAAAGACCCAAAAGGCCTAGAGCTTAGGTATTTTGCAGAAGGCATTGTCTGGTAGACCTCTACCCAGACTATTCAAATTATAGCCCTGGGGTCAAAATCGGCCCGCCGGGGGTCATTAGTTTTCCTTATATGTATCTTCAATATATACTTATAGTAAAAAATCTTATTGTTCTTATTAGAGCTTAAATATTTTAAATGATATCATCTATAGGAACTCTACCAAAGTTGTTAAAATTTTGCCTCTAGTGTCAAAATTAGCCCCGCCCAGGGGGCCATAGGCTTTCCTTATATGTATATATATATATACATATATATATATATAGTAAAAAAAATAAAAAATATATTTTTATCTGAAGGTACAAGGCATAGAGCTTCGATGTTTGCTATATAATATCATCTATAGGTCCTCTTCCAAAGTTGTTCAAATTATTCCCCTGGTGTCAAAATTGGCCCTGCCCGGGGGCAGTGATTCTCATTATGTACACATAGTAAAAACAGAAAATAAAACAAATGTTTTCTGAATGGAAGAAAGCTACAGCTTAGATATTTGACTTGAAATGTTGTTCGGTGGACCTGTATCAAGATTGTTTTGAATGAAGCCCTTGGGTCCAAAATTTTGCCTTGCCCAATGGGACAGTGACCTACTTTCTTGTCCTTTGATGTACAGCAATGAAATTTTGACCATGTGCACAGTTTTAGCTGTTAAATTGAATTTTGATATAAGGTGACCTAGATTTTGATGATGTGACCTACTTTCTTGTCCTTTGATGTACAGCTATGAAATTTGAACCATGTGCACAGATTAAGACGTAAAGTGAACTTTGATTTCAGCTGATCTAGATTTTGACAAAGTGTCTTACTGTTCTTTGATGTAGTCATGAAATTTAGGCTGTGTGAAATATGACCTTCACCACCAAATTCACTAGACTCGAGTGCATTGATATATTCTTACTCTGATCTTTTATTGAGTTAACAACAGATTTAACCACTAATCTGATAATAAGAATAAGATAGGTCAGGGATCTATGCATTATGACAATCTTCAAAATTGTATAGAAACAAAAAAAAAATCTGTTCCAACACTACTATTTAGTGTTGTATTAATGCGGTGGCATAGCATTTTTCTCAAATGCAATCTTGTTTTTTTGTTTTTACACCAATTTTTACAGTCATCTTAATATGTCATCATTACACCATCATCATAATCACAAAAAGTATCATCATCATTGTCATTAGTATTCATCATCATAATGGGTGTAACCATGTTACATTGAGATTGAAATTGTTAAGAGATTCTATTACAAATATGGGAACTCAACAAGTGTTGTTTTTCTTTTCCATCTAATCCAAGGGTAGAAACAAAAGCTTGGTAAATATATTGATTATAAATAAGCATAATCTTGATTACTCTGTTATGAATGGATGAGCACCATGAAGCAGAAATGGTTACAGTTTGTTTTTACCCTGGGATTATACAGAAAAAACCCACATTTGCTGAGTTCCAGATAACATCTATTTATAAATTTCTTTGTTTTAAATTTTCATTCTCAGTATTTCATGCATTTGAACAATTGTCAAGAAATCGTCATGATATGTTATACCTGTTTAACATTTTGATTGTAAAAGGTATGACATATATAGACAAGCCCATGCCAGAGGTATAGAGAGCCAGGTCAGCATGCACCCCTGTCCTCTTTGAACAAAATCAATAATGTTGGTAGCTCAATTTTAGTGTTATGACTTTGACTAAGTAAAAATGAAAAAGTTTCACACATGAAACCAGAACAAGTTTTCACATGTTTGCACTTTTATTACTGTTACATGTATTGTTGACTAAATGTGAAGGACATCTTAGTTAGAATACTGACAGCTGTTCCATCAATTAATCTAAAGTTGATATGCTAACTAACTTGGAAGAGGTATGAATTCAAGGTCAATATAGAATTATATGGACTTGGTTAAGTCAAGAGAAAATTGTTGTTTTTGCAACAGATGCTGACTGGAACCATCAATATTTTACTTGCTGGTGTTTGATGTCACATTGTTTAGAAGACATAACTCTGGTTAGAAAATAATGCTAGCAAATGCAGGGGTCTTATTGATTCATTGATTAATCATTTTGTAATCTGTGATAACAATATGCAAGATTAGCTTTTATTTGTAGAATGCTGATGAAAGTAGTTATAAAATGTCTCAGCAAGCTGTTGTCTTGGTTACACATGTACTTGCATGTGTTTGGTTCTTTATGATTCAGACAAGAACTGGTTGGATTTGTTGCCTAACTAAACAAAGGATGGGTATATTAAATCATGAAAGCCTATTATGTATACAATCCTATTGTTGAATAGAAAAATGTAGTTGCTTATAAAGTCTGAGGAAATGTCATTATTAGAGTTCTTGTTAAAAATTGGTACAATAATGTTACATTCCAAGTAAAATAAAAAATCTGTTCAACAGTTACGTCCCTTGTAAAACTTCTTTTATCTCTTGTGAAAAAATTATATAGAATATAATTATTGTTAGATCATATTGATGTAAAGATTATTAACTAAAGTTAGATCTCTTGTAAAAGTTTTGTACCACGAGTTTCATCCTTTATATATTTAGGTACATACAATAAAAGCATCCCTTGTAAAAAGTATGTACAGGAGTAACATCCCTTGTAAAAGGGTATCTACAAGACTAACATCCCTTGTAAAAGTATTTTTAAAAAGTATATTCTTTTATTTACAGAGTCAAGTACCAAGACAGTCAAGTACAGAATCAGAAGCTGTCCCCGGTAGTCAGGACAGAAGTAATGCCTCCACAGGTATAATACATTATATCATTTAGGTCATAGACAACCATTTATAATTTTTTTAAATGAAAACAAGAAAAACTCATCCATGGTTCGACTGAGACTTGTTTCACATTTAGTTAAATATATTATTTAAGTAATTCCCCTTTAATGCAGGTTTGTTTGAAATTTGCAAGTACATGTACTGTGATTGTTGTTATGAGCTTTGTTATAACTTACCTGAGTACAATATGCGCAGAGATGACAGATTTTGCGATAGCATGATGACTGTTAAATATTGTTAAACAAGATCTTTCCTTAACAAAATGGTAGATTTTGACAATATTTCACAGGAATGACTTCCAGTAGTTCCAGTCTGATCCATAAGAAGATCACAGGAACTAAAAATAAGCTTTAGATAATGAAATCTTAAAAAGATCTCCTCACATATCTTAGATGTAACGTTAAGTTGTAGCCGTTTATAAAAGTCATGCCCCTATGGTGAACAATGGGCATGCTCTTAGGGATACTTATTTACATAGGCTCATATAGGAAAATGCATTTAAATCTTTTTTCTAAGCTTAGATATTTGCCATGTTGCATTGCTTAACTTTTATGGATCATGCCCAGTGTTTCCCAATGACCTGCATTGAAGAATTTTGACCTTTTATAGCAGTGGATCTCATGTGAGCAATATAGATCTTTGTTATGAAAGTCAAAGGCTAATATAATTATATAATGTAATTTATACATTATGGTGACAATCAATTGGATTGAAATTGACATTTATTTCTTATTGATTGAGAAATTAATTAGCATCAAAAATAAATATTAAGATTTGCACTTTGAAATTGAATATCTGTTGTGCTGAGTCAACTTTCTAGTTGAACTTTTAGATACAATACAACACTGTTGTATCTCCACATGCTTCAAAGAATAAGTTACAACATTATTGCACAAGTTACTGAAATTCTGCATCACATGCTTGATTCATATATTTAGTTCAGTCGTATCTGATTATCTAATTAACAGTCATTTCATTGTACCAGGTTTTATGCATCTCATATATTACCTTAATTATTGAGCAAAAGCAACTTTTATTTTGATTTTTTTTTGTCTAAAATAGATGAAGAATAAACTGCTATATTTGGCTGTTAATTCTAGCCATCATTGTGGTGACAGGTTTGATTATATGAGAGAACATTTCCTATTGGTTGAAAATCAGACTTAAGTTAACTGCTTTCAGTTTCCTTGTAACTAAGTGCTCTCCCTAAGCCCCAAGCAACCTACGAATCATTGGCTTTTGCAGAATTAACTCCATGCTACTTTTCAAAGTCACTAATGAGGTTTTAAAAGGTTTGTTCTTGAAATTTTATGTATGGCAATGTTTCTGCAGACATTTTCACAAAAAATCTTACGACAATTTTTTGTCGTAAGAGAAATCTTACGATAAATCTCCTTTTCACAAAAAATCTTAAGAAAATCTTAAGTGCAAAATCTGTCGTAACTTTACGATAGGTCTTCCCCGTTCGTAAGTGTATTTTTTTCTCTCTTAAGGGTAAAATATCATGTATCTCTTACCTAAACTGAATAAAAACAAACAAAAAATTGGAGGACAACTAAATATTAAGCAAACAGTATGCTATAAATAACACAAATTGAGGTATAATTATTTTTCAACATATACATTTGTGACGTCATGACTTGATGACGTCACGATGGAGAGGGTTATGAATAGTTTAAAATAATGTGAACTATACTGTAGACTAGTATTATTGAAAACTTATAAATTGTACAATTGGTGAGTTCGATTTCATTGCCAGCATGTACTAGTGGTACCTTTTTATTTATTAATAACATAGTAGACCTTCTTTCTGAATCTTTTAGATATATATAATTATCTTCAATCAAGATATAAATTATATCAGTTTGAATCATTTTTTTGTTCTTATTGAAATTTGATTGTGTTCAATTGATATTTCAAGCTCTTGATTACTTGATTTTAAAACGGAATCAAATATAGAGCATGCACATCACTATCAAATGAACGTTGCTAGGGATATTTTTGTCGTAAGATTTATCGTAAGTGAATTTTTTATCTTAAGATAAAATTTTAACTTACGAGTGGCTTTGTGAAAATGACTTAAGATTTAACTTACGATTATTGTAAGTGTAAAACTTAAGATAAATCGTAAGATTTTTTGTGAAAATGTCTGCTGTATTTTTGTACCAAAGATTGCTGATTATGATGTATTGACTTGAAACCAATCAAGAAATGTGAAATTCATCACATATTTTGTCTGAAACTTATCATATTCATTGATTGGTCAATTCCACATTTAGATACTTTCATCAAATTCATTTGGGTTTTTTTTCTTCACCAAATTATAGGTGTTCCAAACCTGCGTCCTAGCCATTCATTCAAGGACAACACAACACGAGCACAGAGTATGTACATTGGAGCGGCATCACAACCCATGCCATCTGCCATAGTGCCAGATATTCAACAGGTAAATATTAAGGTTGCAATGTAATCTAAACAGTTTTAGTGTTAAACAAATGGTTTAAATGCTTCTCTTAGATTAGTTTCCAGTTAAAATAAATAGAATTACCCAGTGTTAGCAGTAACAATGATGTGTCTAAGCCACTAGAATAGTGGTCCAGCCAATATGCACTCGCAAGCAGTCTGACCAAATTCGTTTGGTAATTCAGGACAATATTGAGTTGGTTAATGACATCATACCACTTCCCTTTACTTCTGTAGGTTCCTATCAGGGACTGTAAGTTTTGTTCTGTGAATATTAAAGCTGTGTAACAAGCTTACAGGTCAGTTGTTCTACTCTGGTGAATGCAAATGAAATTGAGGTGCACTGGAGGTCAACCTCAACAAAGAATGCAAGTCTCCTTTACAGTGCCAATGTGACTTAAAACTGAAAACAAAGTAGAAAAAAAAAGCCATTATCTGCAAATTTAGATTGAAATATATTATGTTCAGGTATTATTATGATTTGTAATAGCAAATTGATGATATGTTTGTTGTAATTTTTATAATCAGGACTCAATTATTATGAGAAAGAGGAGATCAGCAGTAAGCTATGTGTTTTATCAACCTTTTCTTCAGTTTTCTGTTTGTGCATCACTATTTTGTTATGTCGTCTGCTTCTTTTTTTTCTCAAAATTTTCTTTGAATGTGTCACACCTTTTAGTTTCAGAAAGCATTGCCAAGTAAATTTTTATTTCCATCTTAATTTGAGGATTCATTTTATTTTTATTTTCACATTTTGTTACACAAAGTTCATATTGTTAAGTTTAGTGTACATGTATTTATGTCTGTTTGCATGGGTTTTTTTATAATTTGAAAATTAGTACACAATTTTGTTCATATAGGGAGTTTTTTTTACTTTTTTGTTGTGATTGGTTGTGTTATTTTTACAAACACAGGTTATAGGAAGAACACACTTTGCTTAAAATCTCTTCTGTCTGAAAAATTGTTGTTTGCAGAACAAATTTTTAACACATTTCATATTACATGTCATCTCTATGTGTTGATAATTATGTTGTAAACAATAGCTTGTAAAACATGAAGTTAACAAGCTGCTGTGTTATTAAAAAAATATTTCAAGGTTTGATAAAGACCTGAACAAATATCTCCCATTTCCACTCTATTACTGATTTAACATAATGATTTTTTCTGAGCATGATATTCATATGTAAACTTGTTTGTCTTTAATTCCCTGATCTTTTAAGTCTACTTATATGATAAAAAACTTAAAGAATAAAATGACTCTTTAGTTGTTGATGAGTGTCTTGTTTTATGTTTCCTATTCTCCAGATAGGAATCTGTCTTAGTTTGTGTAACTTTCTTTGGGTCGGAGTATCACAGTTTCTCTATCATTTTCTTTTGGTTACTGTGGTTTGGTTTCACTCACAGTATGTCTTTTGTTTTCTTTTGGTTGGAATCACTCATAGTTTGTCTATTATTCTCTTTGGTAGGTAATCTCTAAAAGTTTGTCTATTATTCTCTTTGGTAGGTAATCTCTAAAAGTTTGTCTATTATTCTCTTTGGTAGGTAATCTCTAAAAGTTTGTCTATTGTTCTGCTAGCTAGGCAATCTCTAAAAGTTTGTTTATTGTTCTGCTAGGGTTTTAATCACAGACCGGTTCCTTTAAGTACAAGTATTTTTAGTTCTACCAGACTATGCACTTACATGGCATATTGTATATTGCCTCACCATGTTATATATACACAGTTTTTGTGATGGTACTTGTCCTTCTATTCATAAATGTGACCTAATTGTTATGTGTTATCTTTCTATGTACTATGAAACAGCTTGTTGTTTTCTCTTGACTGCATTTTAGCCCAACTACATGTATTTAAAGAATAGGGAGAACTGTTATTTTCACCCAGGGGTCAGCGTTAGAGTCACACTTTAAGTTTTTGCTTGCAAGTTGGTGTCTCACAAACTACTGAAGGAAATGGGTTGAAATGTTTCACTATCAAACACTGGGAATTATAAGCTCTTGTTGTAATCCTGAACATTTAGTGTTCTCTTTTATAAGTGTATTGTTATATGACATGTTTCAGAGTAGCCTGCATATATGATATTTTACATTTTATAATCTGTATGTACTAGAAATCTTTAGTTTTATATTAAAATAAAGTGAACATTGGTTCACTGAAACTGAGGGATTTTTTTGATGTACATGTATGATAGAAACTATGGCATGAGTTTGCTACTTTGATATTCCAAGTGGATAAACATAGCTGCATGTATAAATGTCTGAAATATTTTGTCTTGCATGGATTTTTTAAATTTATTATTATTAAACTTAAGTTTTATCTGACAATTCACATACCGTTTTGAATTACAATTTAACTTTCTGGTTTATTTAGTTGATAATGAAGTAATCATCTGTCAGGCAGTGGAATAAAGTACAATGGAAATAATTTTGCTAAATTTTCTTTTTAGAACTGCAAAGTTTATGTCAGTAGTGTATAAAACTGACAGCTTGCACTGAAACCTGCCATATCCATGTGTAGTCTGAACTGACTGTATATAGATGTCTGCTCATTTTTTTACAATTTTAATCTGTCACCATACTTAATACATGTATATTAAACAAGCCTGTACATCTTTCAATCTGGAGAAAAACAATAGTAATTTTAGGAAAATTTCAAAAAATGTACTGACTGAATAGCAAACAGTGCTGACCATGATCATAAGGCATTGATGTGCTTGCTGATCTTGGTTTGCACTGGTCACATGAGCAGATTAAGTCACTGCCAGCAGGCTAAAAGCTAATATTATATGCCTGTTAACGAGTAATTAATAACCCCAAAATTAGAATATTAGGACTGTCTAAAATACAAATAAAGATGTATGGTAAATAATAAAGTTGTTTTTCTATATTTCAGTTACAATCAGCATCAGCACAATTACAAAGAAGAAGTTTACCTACACCAAGGTGAGCTGATATTTTGTTACGTTTTGTCATATAGATTGAAATATTTGGTTTGTCAAGTGTGATTTCCTTCCCTTTGAATGGTTTGTTTTAAAAAAAAATGTCCTGTGGTAGAGATCATAAGATAAAATGCTGAAATAAAGAAACCAGTCTTAATGTTCAACAATCTAATTGGGTAATTCGGAGCATAGGTGTTAGGCTTTGATAGCACAACTAGTCCTTTGAACAAGAAAGAAAGATTTCTGCTGATATGTCCATGCTTAATGTTTGTTTTTTGTTTCACACATTTTACTGTGTAATAAGTCAAATGCTGGTTATTACATATTTTGTTTCAAGATGCTTTTAGAATAGCATGTTGTTAAAGAATGTATGCATGCTTGCAGCCTGTAGATAAATTTCAAAATATGAAGGAAAGAATAAATACATGTTACCCTAAAACATTCTTTTTGGCATATATCACCAACACTGTTCAGTGAAAATGCACACAGTTTGACACATGAAGGAAACTTTAGTTTCATTCATTTATTTTACGTATTGTTTGAACACAATATAAAGCTTGTCTGCTTGGAGATTTGTGCTCTTTTATCATGCATAATTCCCATTCAAATATATCACAGATTCCATTGTCAAGAGACAATGTAATGTTAGAAATGTTACTTGGTCAGTAAATAAAGGTGTTCCTTTTGCCCCTTACAAGTTTTGAGCTGTCAAAATCATTTCTAGTTATTATTTCTGGAACTTAGCTTTATTTTGTGCTGTTAAAAATTGCAGTATATTGCTTTCTGTGCTTGAATTTATTCATTATTTCTGTTGTCATGTAAAGTATAGATATGGGTATGTTATGTTAAAATTTAATTATCTAGACATAAAAACTGTGTTACTATAAATAGAATTGTATTTTCTTTTTGTAACTATAAATAGAAATATATTTAACTATTGGATTGATCTATAGGATTGTAATAGACACAACTCATGTTCAGGATCGGCCTAAATCTCCAAATCCTATTGCTACAATATCATCATCAGCTTCTGAGTCTGCTGTAGCAAGTTCAGCAGACGGCAAGAACAATAAGTATGTCTCTCACAACGCGTGCTCTGATATTTGCTCGTACTAACTACATGTATATCTCTGTACAGTCTTGTCCAGCAGTGAAACCCATGCATTGTTTAGGATTCTTGATTTCTGAGATCAAAGTAATACTTGAAAATGATATAATATCTTATTATAAAAATTACTGTATTATTTTAATTTTAACAAAATTTAGATACATAAATATTTGTTAGTGTTAAAAGTCATTTGTTTTCTTGTTTGATAGACTTCGCAGTTTTCATTAAATTAAAACTTCACAATGATGATTTATTTACCAAGGACTGGTTAAGTGATATTTCAGAGAATTTTCCATGATGCCAAAGTTAAGAAATTCAACAAAAGTTTAGAATATAAATTACTATTGGTTGAGTGTATGTTGAAAGGGTTTCACTGTCAATGTTATGTGATGACTAGCATGCACTAAATGTAATCCAAGGTGAATAAGATGCAGTATAAAAGTTTAAGGTGGTAGGTTTATTTTAACTTGCATTTATTGAACTGATATTTGACTGAACAAAATTGAGGGTAGCTTTTACAACACTGTCATATAACCCTGCAAATATAACAAAAATACGAGACTTGAAACCAGTCCAAATCTTTAGTGTCTGATTGGTGGTTTCTGAAAGCTTAGATTTGAAATTGACCAATGGTAGAGTTCTTATCCTGGACTGGTATCCAATTGGCCTTTGTATTCATCATACAAAATTCACAATATTCATTATTGTATAAGGTCACAGCAATTCACATCTGCTATTTTGTATGTATGTATGTTTCCTGTTTACACAGTGTGTTTGTATAAACAGTATTGCACAAAACCATATATGAACAAATAAACTCCTTTTATATATTCATACTTCTGATTTGGAGATCAGAAGATTTAATGTTCCAAAATATATATTAACAAAATAAGGACGTTTATTTGTTACATTTAGTGAAATTGAAATGATTTAAGAAATGAACATGCATTAAATATTTGCACCAAGTACATTGTATTTCATTATCTGTACATACATATAATAGGACATATAATTGTCATATATCTGATAATTTTTGTTTAATTTGATTGTATCATTATTGATTCTTATTTAATCAAGTTACCAGGCAATGCATCATTTTACATTAAATCAAGAGTTTTTTTTATATCTCTCCAAATAATGACTTGAGATGTTACACAGAAAACAGCTACAAGACTCAGTTTTCTGCTGCTTGTGCTGGAATACTGGAATTTGAAGAAAAAAAAATATTGAATATATGCTATGTATATATTAAAACAAAACAGAAAGTCAGCAAGTTGTATAATAAATCATATTTTAATGCTACATGTATATTTTGTTAGTTTTTCAAAAACTTGTATAACAGCTTGACTTATCAAATGACAAACATAATAATTATAAGGAAATATTTAAGAGCTATGAGAAAGTGAACTTCATTGTTTTTCAAGAACATACATTTCTTACTGTTTTCATAAACAGACAAGGAATATTGCTTTAAATGAGTGACTATATATCCAGAATTCCCAGGAATATTAAGAGGATATTTTTTCGTTTGCGTGAAATATGGAATATATTTTCACGAAACATGATAAAATGCCACATATTTTCACGAGCCGGTACGGCGAGTGAAAATATGTGGCATTTTATCATGTTGAGTGAAAATATATACCATATTTCACGAAAAACGGAAAAATAACTTTTTTATTTAATTTCATTATCAAAGAAAATGGTAACGAATCCCTTTGCTTGCTACCATCTGCAATTGTACAGCGCGCAGTAATTAATGCGTAAGCACGCGCTGTTTGGCGTTACATTGTGACGTCATGTAAACAACTCTTTAAACGTCTGTACAGCGTTAATTACTGAATTAAAGATATTGGTGTTCGGATTAATTTTCTTAGTTAGACCACTTTCTATCATGCTAGATAGTTTTCAAAACACAATTCAAGAAAAAGTTGTTTTGTATTTATCAGATTTCTCAAACAAAACGGCGAAAGAAGTCCCATAAAATAAATATGAGTTTTGACTCCGCCCACTTTCATATTTATATTTCATATTTATTTTAAAAAAATATGAAATATATTTGACTGATATAGCACCATATTTCATGGGTAAAATTAAATAAAACCGGTATAGTAAGAGTTGATGATTGTTGTAGTTTTTATGCAAATATTTATGAGATAATCAGAAAATATGTTGTATATTTTTATCCCTTGAACAGCTTGTTAGCAAGTCCAAATATGGGAACATATTTACAATGGCGTCGTGCGTCTGCTGTTTCTGTGGAGTAAGTCACATGACTGGTCACATGACTAGTTACAGCTGATTTAGCAGCATTTTAAAATTTTATTCATTTCACTTTCAAATAAATACTGATGAAGACATTATGTTAAATTTAGATAGGGAACATGAATGTATTGTTATTTCCGGGGACATTACATGAAATGACCTCAAACTTTGTGCTAATTAATGGACATGACTTTTTCGTTAAATTTTGTAAATTCATTTTAAGTAATTATTTTAAAACACTTATGAATATCAACTTGTTAATGAACCTTAATGGTTTTCAGCAATACAGTATTTATTATTTGGACTTGAGGCTTGTTTTTATTTTTGTTTGTTTGTTTTAAATGATTGTATCAAAATGGTTTTGGTTTGGAGGCATTTTAAAGTATAGGTTAAAGCAACAGTAATTATGATGTCCTCATCAGGTGTTGTTTGAATTGAAATGACGGTGCTGGCTAGATATTTTACTCCTATTTTATATTTTAATAATATTTTTACAGGGTTTTGTAGATGTCTGTATAAAATATTTTTGTTAGATATTGCTAATAATTATGTTAGTATTGTATAAATTTTTTGTATTGTCCTCATATTATCACCATTAAGACATTAATAAGCACATGTTGAGAAAAAGGGTAGCATTTATATGTTGTCACTAGCTGCAGGTTATGGTGTCATATTCAATCCTGTAGAATAAAATACACTTAACTGGCAAGAATAATCTTAAATGCTTGAAACAGGATTTTCTTAGGTTTCAAAGGATAGCAAATGTAAACAATACATAGAATCTCAATGAATGTTAGTGCTTACATGCAACAGAAAATAGGCTAGAGATGCTTGTTTGTGCCTTGTGCAATTAAACTTTTAAGCTTATACATTTCACTGCTGAACATAGTTCATCAAATCATAAGCTTGGTGCAAAATTGTTGTAACTGTATAAAGATGATGAAGCAATAGTTAAGTGGCAAACTGTTGTTACAATGCAATGTGCCTTTACATCATGCGTGTATTAGCAGCTTGCGCAGCCTTAATGAGTAATGTTAAGCCAGCCTGGCAAGCCATGCAGCCAAAGCAGTCTCAGTCTTAATATTGTCGGCTTAAATTGAGTTCTTTGTTATTAGAATTTGCTTTAAAAAAATGTGCAAATGAAATGGTCAAAGTATATAAGAAGTTAATTTTGACAACTTATTTCGAAGCTGATGCAATAATGCATGTGTTTGTATACCAGCCATAGTTAAACTGTACTTGTTTTATGAAATAGAAAATATAATTATTATGATTCGGAGCATGCTTTCATTCATTATGTACACTCCATTCACTTGATAATTTGTGGACTGCATTTCAATTTTCATTATGCATGCACATAGCTTCTTTTTTTTGCATGTCCTTTTTAAAGAATGATGTTCATTTATTGGAGTGTAAGCCTCTGCTGCTGTTATTATAAACCAAAAATGCATAATATATATTTATCCCTTTTATATATCATTGTGTATATTCTTTTTGCAAAAATTACCAAGGCGTCCACTTTTATTTGGTATAATTGTTTGATTATATCTGGTACACAATGTTATATTGAGATTATAAATGCCAGGATATAGACACATTAACTTGACTTGTTCATTGTATATGATAATCTTTATGATGAACCATAATGGTTTATTATATAATCTATATAGAGCATTCAAATGCCACTCCCTGATTGGTTAAGACAAAAGTTTTTGTGGAAAAAGAACTGGTCAATATCATAGTAAAATTACTGTTTTTGTCCTAAGAAATAGATGTTCAAATAATATTCACTGTTATTTTTCATTAAAAAAAAAAAATGTTCTGAAAATCGAAAAAGTCAAAAAAGTTGAAAATCAAAAGATGCATGGATATGATAAGACTTGAATGCTTGGCGAAAAGCATGAATAATTGTCAAAATTGTTGCTCATATATTGTTTTCTTTTTCATATTTATTCCGAAAGCAATTTAGCATGATTAAAATTATTAAGAACATTGTTAAGAGCCAATTTAGAAAGATATTTATAGAATTATTGCTTGTATTTTAAAAGCTGCATACCTGTAGTTTCCCCAGAGTACAACCTGTAGTTTCCCCAGAGTACAGATTTGCAATAAAAATTATGGTTTCATTTAATTTTTTTTTGGGTTTTAAAAACATTTTTTATTATTTTTGGGTAGTTAGAGATTAGAAGTTTGAAAATTGCTAAAAAAAGGGTTTGGGTATTGAGATCGTTTTTTGGGGTTTTAAAACCAGAAGGAGTAAGCTTACAAGCTTTCTAGGCTTTGCATGAACTATTTTTGTAGTTGCTTACATAATCATGCTAAAGTTTTTTATGCTAAAGACGGAGGCAAAATAATAGCGCCATGGGTTGATTTCCATATAATGCTAAGATTGTATATTGTATCACTTGAGAAAACTGTGATTATTCAGCTAATTTTAGATTTTCTTTCTATAATTGTAGGGGTACTTGTAACTTCTTAGTTACTGAAGAAAAATATACATTAATAGTTTCATAAATGACTTAATTAATGTACAGGTTAATTTTAACTTTAGATTATCAGTTCCCCAGTATAAGCCATACTGTTTTAGAATAGGAAAAAAACATAAAAACATTGCTCATTTCTCCAACTATCCCAGCCCAATCTGTTTGGGCTTACATTTGACAGTTTGTTCTATTCTTTATGAAAATAAAAGAGGTTTTATTCTGCATGGAAATAAAGAGGTTTTACACTTTTAAAATTTTGTTGGTACAGCTTCATTTTCGGTATAAGAAATTAACACATATTTTAACCTTATTATTTTATCTTAAGTAACTTTTATATTTTATTATAGAAACCCCTTTTTGTGGATCTAAACATTTTCTGTGTAATTTTAGTCAAATTCCAGTGTAGATGCACAATGTATGTTATAAAGATTTTAGACTTCAAGTGCTACTGTATATTTTTTGTCAAATTAAAATATTACACAAGAAGGTTTATAACCATGAACATGTAACATTAAAAATGAGATATTTATATGATGCCTTGTTTTATTAGCAAATGTTAAAGTTTGTTTTTATAAGTATACATAACTTTACAGATAGGTAATGTTCAGTTCCAAGACTTACTTTACATTATTTGTTAAAATATGCCTCAATCTTTTTCATGCAATAGCTGTGTTTATTCTGCTATTTTCATATGCAGGAGCTGAGCTATGTGCATATTTGTTTTGGTTCATATTTTAAGGCCCATAAATATTTCTAACAGATTTGAAATGATTTTGATCTTAAATAATCTTGTGCATAGGTTTGCAACAGTGTCCAGACTGACACACCAAGCTTCAGTATATATATTTGCTCTGCTGGAAACTACATTATCTGCCCATGTGACCAGTGCAGACCATAATGAGCAAGCACATCCTTGCCATCAGATCATGGTCTGCACCGGTCACAGTTATGTCGGTAAAAAATTTCCCACAACTGATGATCTTGAAGAGATTGAAAGACAGACAAGCCCATTAAAGATATTGAGCATGGTAATATATTTGTGTGTTATATAATTATGGTATTTTATTATTTCAGTCATCCTATAGCTGAAGATGACAGGGAGCAAGATAATGTCTCAAGGCTGGACCTTGGACAGTCAAAGTAAATATAAATATCATAATTATGTTCTCTTTTGTATCATCCTAAATCATGCTGGCATACTGAAATATCTAAATTTTAAAGAATGAGCAAGTATTGTGGACTGTTTATCCATCTAGGGATATTAGGGTCTACTGTCAGGAATCAATGTCATATATAAACATTAAAGTTACATTAAATAAATATGTAAACATATTTTGCCGTCGGCCTAATAACCAATCATTCTACAGTTTTATTAACCTTTTTAACAGTATTGTTGTAAATCTCATCAAATATTGTTCATAAATTACGATTTAAAACGGAAAACCCCACGGTAACACTAAAGTTCGTATACGAATTTTAACATGCAAATGAAGACTATAATTAGTTCATGTATGTGCTACGTCACAGTGTTATAGTTGCTATACAGAGCACAACAAATACGAGATTTTCATGTGCATACACACTTTAACCGTTTTAGCTTCACGGTGCACTTGGCATGGCGTTCAGGAAAGAGTAATCATCTCATAAAAATATTAAATTTGTATGAAAACAACCGTTGCAATGCGTAAATATACCGTTATATTAGAACTGCTACTTATTACCATGTTGATTTAATATTGATGTACGAATGACCCGAAGGCGGAGTTTCTCATGCAAATTCCGATTTCGCCACAATGAGGTCGCAGATGTTTATGCTTATAAAACTCATTTTGGTTGCCTTGACACCATAATACAATCTGGAGTCGATATGAAACCAAATTTACTAATGAAATGTCGCTATATCTGTTTTTAAGAAATTCATTTAATGTAGCTTTAAGTTAAACCATGCAATATGATTAGAGGAAAGGTAAGAAACAGATAGCCAAAAGACATTAGATATATAACATATTCTGAACTAAGTATGAAAATAGGGCCTACACTATTAATCAGTACTACAATGTAATCATGTCTACAATATTTAAAAATCCAGTCTTGCTGAAATTTATTGTTACATTATCCTTGCAATCCCTGTTAAAGTTTATCTTTGTCTTGGTCATATACCAGCATAAAGCCTTTCTTTTTGCTATTTTCAAAGTTTTTTATATAAAATTCTGAAAATTGCTTCTAAAAATTAAAAAAAAATGACTAGAAACGAATACTTTTTTCCCTCCCCTTATATTAACTGATTTAAAAGGAAAAGGTTTCTGTTGAATGTTTGCACTGATATTAATGTTATTTTTATTTCAGTATCACAGAGACAATGTCTCATTCTATAGAATCTCTGGATGAAGTAGACAGTAAGTTATTACATTGATATTATTTTACTAAATATTAGATTGTCTCCCTTTTATAAACAAGAAACATTTCCAATAAAATGTTAAATTGTTTTCCCAAGAAAACACTTAATTTTCTCCATAAATCATATTTATTAAAATTGCTATTATACTCAGCCTTTTTGATAAATTTCTTCAAAATTTTATTAGTGACATTGTACGAAGAAGGAGTGTCCGTGTTCAAATGTTTAAAGATGTTGACTTTAAACTGTTTGCCTCTTGCTACTGTATGTTCAAGCCCTGCAAGCGTTGTTGTGTTCTACTTGTGAGAAAACTATCCAGCTAGCTTACAGAACATCGGTGGTTCTACTTGTGTGCCCATTTGTGCCTAAAATAATGTACAGAGGTGCATCTGAGATCTTCCTCCACCAGTAAAGCTTGAATATCACCATATGACCTATACTGTGTTGGTACAATGTAAAACCAAATCATCAAATTAATGCTTAGATGTTCCTCATCTAAAGTTGTCTGTATTTTTTTCCACACAAATGATAATTTCTAGGCCAGTGTCATAGACTGGTTATAAGGAAAGACTTCAGGTAGAGTAAAGAATTACAATTATAATAAAGAATTGTTTATTTGTAGGTAGAATAAAGAATTACAATGATATAAAGAATTGTTTATTTGTAGGTGTACAAGAAGTGAGATATGACGATGTTGAATTAGGAAGTCTCGACATTGATGAGCCAGAAACATGGAGTGAAACTGTTGATAAAAAAGTCTTAAAGAAAATGAACCCCAAAGATATCAAACGTCAGGATACTATATGGGGTATTACACATATATTAATATAAACAATAGGACCCTTTAACATGAAATAATATAAAGATACACTGTGCTCAAATTTGGTATTATAAAATACTGATAATTTCTACACAGTCTTTTTGTAGATATGAAATAAACATGTTTTGACTTCACACAAAGTAGATATGTTATGCTTAAATCCTACACACTATAAGTGGACACAGTATGAATATATAGTGTCATTTAAAAAACTTAAAACTTTTATTTTTAAGAACAGAACGCAGATTCCCGAACATAGTTTATACATTCTTTTATTTCAATAAGACAATTTCAGTAAGAATTTTATAGATTTCAATGAATTTCTACATTAAAAACAGTTTACTCAAAGATGAGCATACTGGCATGCGAGCAGTTTCCGTACAAAAATCGTAGTTACTTAATCATTATTTTTAGCTCGACTATTCGATAAGAATAAGTAGAGCTATTGCAGTCACCCGAGCGTCGGCGTCGGCGTAACCACTTATGTTAAAGTTTTTGTAATAGTTCAAATATTTTCAAAGTCCATTGACATATGGCTTTGAAACTTTGCACACTTGTTCACCATCATGACCCCAACCCGTAGACAGGAGGAGGTAACTCTATCAAGCATTTTGACAGAATTATGCCCCTTTTTCGACTTAGAATTTACGTTAAAGTTTTTGTAATAGTTCAAATATTTTCAAAGTCCATTGACATATGGCTTTGAAACTTTGCACACTTGTTCACCATCATGACCCCAACCTGTAGACAGGAGGAGGTAACTCTATCAAGTATTTTGACAGAATTATGCCCCTTTTTCGACTTAGAATTTACGTTAAAGTTTTTGTAATAGTTCAAATATTTTCAAAGTCCATTGACATATGGCTTTGAAACTTTGCACACTTGTTCACCATCATGACCCCAACCTGTAGACAGGAGGGGGTAACTCTATCAAGCATTTTGACAGAATTATGCCCCTTTTTCAACTTAGAATTTCCGTTAAAGTTTTTGTAATAGTTCAAATATTTTCAAAGTCCATAGACATATGGCTTTGAAACTTTGCACACTTGTTCAACATCATGACCCCAACCTGTAGACAGCAGGAGGTAACTCTATCAAGCATTTTGACAGAATAATGCCCCTTTTTCGACTTAGAATTTACGTTAAAGTTTTTGTAATAGTTCAAATATTTTCAAAGTCCATTGACATATGGCTTTGAAACTTTGCACACTTGTTCAACATCATGACCCCAACCTGTAAACAGGAGGAGGTAACTCTATCAAGCATTTTGACAGAATTATGCCCCTTTTTCGACTTAGAATTTACGTTAAAGTTTTTGTAATAGTTCAAATATTTTCAAAGTCCATTGACATATGGCTTTGAAACTTTGCACACTTGTTCACCATCATGACCCCAACCTGTAAACAGGAGGAGGTAACTGTATCAGGCATTTTTTTTACTATCAAGCACTAAGAATAGTCGAGCATGCTGTCCTACCGACAGCTCTTGTTTATTACGCTCACTCACCAAAATTTGAATGTTTCACATCAATATTCGGCTCGTCACACAAATCATGGAAATTCCATCATGTTCTAAACATTGAATAACCCTTACTTATGAGGCCTCATATGGGGTACCCAAATTATCCATTATTTTGTATGAAGAGAAGTAGTTCCCGTACATAAAATTTAACCCATTATAATTATACAATTTTTAGCTCGACTATTCGATAAGAATAAGTAGAGCTATTGCAGTCACCGAGCGTCGGCGTCGGCGTAACCACTTATGTTAAAGTTTTTGTAATAGTTCAAATACTTTCAAAGTCCATAGACATATGGCTTTGAAACTTTGCACACTTGTTCACCATCATGTCCCCAACCTGTAGACAGGAGGAGGTAACTCTATCAAGCATTTTGACAGATTTATGCCCCTTTTTCGACTTAGAATTTACGTTAAAGTTTTTGTAATAGTTCAAATATTTTCAAAGTCCATTGACATATGGCTTTGAAACTTTGCACACTTGTTCACCATCATGACCCCAACCTGTAGACAAGAGGAGGTAACTGTATCAAGCATTTTGACAGAATTATGCCCCTTTTTATATGCCCGAAAGGGCATATTATGTTATACCCCCTGGCGTCCGTCTGTCTGTCTGTCCGTCCGTCCGTCCGTACGTCCGTCCGTTAGCAATTTGGTTTCCGGAGCATAACTTAAGTTCCATTTGGCCCACAATGTTAAAACTTCATAGGATGATTGTCCATATTGGGTAGAAGACCCCTATTGATTTTGGGGTCAAAAGGTCAAAGTCACTATTACCTTAAAACTGAAAACGGTTTCCGGAGCATAACTTAAGTTCCATTCGACCCACAATGTTCAAACTTCATAGGATGATTGTCCATATTGGGAAGAAGACCCCTTTTGATTTTGGGGTCACAAGGTCAAAGGTCAAGGTCACTATGACCTTGATACTGAAAACAGTTTCCGGAGCATAACTTAAGTTCCAATTGGCCCACAATGTTCAAACTTCATAGGATGATTGTCCATATTGGGTAGAAGACCCCTATTGATTTTGGGGTCAAAAGGTCAAAGGTCAAGGTCACTATTACCTTAAAACTGAAAACGGTTTCCGGAGCATAACTTAAGTTCCATTCGACCCAAAGTGTTCAAACTTCATAGGATGATTGTCCATATTGGGAAGAAGACCCCTATTGATTTTGGGGTCACAAGGTCAAAGGTCAAGGTCACTATGACCTTGATACTGAAAACAGTTTCCGGAGCATAACTTAAGTTCCAATTGGCCCACAATGTTCAAACTTCATAGGATGATTGTCCATATTGGGTAGAAGACCCCTATTGATTTTGGGGTCAAAAGGTCAAACGTCAAGGTCACTATTACCTTATAACTGAAAACAGTTTCCAGAGCATAACTTAAGTTCCATTCGACCCACAATGTTCAAACTTCATAGGATGATTGTCCATATTGGGAAGAAGACCCCTATTGATTTTGGGGTCACAAGGTCAAAGGTCACAAGGTCAAGGTCAAGGTCACTATGACCTTGATACTGAAAACAGTTTCCGGAGCATAACTTAAGTTCCAATTGGCCCACAATGTTCAAACTACATAGGATGATTGTCCATATTGGGTAGAAGACCCCTATTGATTTTGGGGTCAAAAGGTCAAAGGTCAAGGTCACTATTACCTTATAACTGAAAACAGTTTCCAGAGCATAACTTAAGTTCCATTCGACCCACAATGTTCAAACTTCATAGGATGATTGTCCATATTGGGAAGAAGACCCCTATTAATTTTGGGGTCACAAGGTCAAAGGTCAAGGTCACTATGATCTTGATACTGAAAACAGTTTCCGGAGCATAACTTAAGTTCCAATTGGCCCACAATGTTCAAACTACATAGGATGATTGTCCATATTGGGTAGAAGACCCCTATTGATTTTGGGGACAAAAGGTCAAAGGTCAAGGTCACTATTACCTTATAACTGAAAACAGTTTCCAGAGCATAACTTAAGTTCCATTCGACCCACAATGTTCAAACTTCATAGGATGATTGTCCATATTGGGTAGAAGACCCCTATTGATTTTGGGGTCACAATGTCAAAGGTGAAGGTCACTATTACATTGATACTGAAAAATATGTTTCCACGCATAACTTAAGTTCCATTTGACCCACAATGTTCAAACTTCATAGGATGATTGTCCATATTGGGTAGAAGACCCGTGTTGATTTTGGGGTCAAAAGGTCAAAGGTGAAGGTCACTATTACCTTGATACTGAAAACAGTTGCCGGAGCATATGTTAAGTTCCATTTGGCCCACAATGTTCAAACTTCATAGGATGATTGTCCATATTGGGTAGAAGACCCCTATTGATTTTGGGGTCAAAAGGTCAATGGTTAAGGTCATCCTTACTAAGAAAAAAAATACTTTCGGGCATATAATGCTCCGCCTAGCGGTGCTCTTGTTCGACTTAGAATTTACGTTAAAGTTTTTGTAATAGTTCAAATATTTTCAAAGTCCATTGACATATGGCTTTGAAACTTTGCACACTTGTTCAACATCATGACCCCAACCTGTAAACAGGAGGAGGTAACTCTATCAAGCATTTTGACAGAATTATGCCCCTTTTTCGACTTAGAATTTACGTAAAAGTTTTTGTAATAGTTCAAATATTTTCAAAGTCCATTGACATATGGCTTTGAAACTTTGCACACTTGTTCACCATCATGACTCCAACCTGTAGACAAGAGGAGGTAACTCTATCAAGCATTTTGACAGAATTATGCCCCTTTTTCGACTTAGAATTTACGTTAAAGTTTTTGTAATAGTTCAAATATTTTCAAAGTCCATTGACATATGGCTTTGAAACTTTGCACACTTGTTCACCATCATGACCCCAACCTGGAAACAGGAGGAGGTAACACTATCAAGCATTTTGACAGAATTATGCCCCTTTTTCGACTTAGAATTTATGTTAAAGTTTTTGTAATAGTTCAAATATTTTCAAAGTCCATTGACATATGGCTTTGAAACTTTGCACACTTGTTCACCATCATGACCCCAACCTGTAAACAGGAGGAGGTAACTCTATCAAGCATTTTTTTTACTATCAAGCACTAAGAATAGTCGAGCGTTGCTGTCCTACCGACAGCTCTTGTATTATATCGGACCTATTTTTCATTTATAATTGTTGAACAGACCATTTTCTAAGAGATAAATAGATGTAATTCAGAAAATAGAAAGTAAACTAAACGCGTGTATCTATTACCCGGTACCGTTACCTCCAACGCATTCACATGCGATGGCATGCTTGTATGCATGATATTTTACGCATCAAAGCCATAAAATTATTTTATATAGTAATATTGGTCAAAATTCTGATAATTAAACAAGTTTTCATCACATTGCCTTCTTATCTGTAAACAGGTGGTATTAGTGGAAAACCCTTTAACATGCCTCACGTGTATGTTTGCGCATGCGCGCAAGGACGGAATTCCCCCAGATAAAACAAGGTCACGTTTGACAACGCACAGGTGAAAGTGATTTAAAATGAGACTTTTTATACGTACTGCCGAACTGACACTTAGATTTTGTCTCGTTTATGTATCTGCTTGATTTGAAATGAATTTTTGAAGAATGCATGTAAAAATCAAGCGTTTAAATGAAAAATACGGGTACTGCTTCTGTACGGGAACTGCTCGCATGCCAGTAGTATATCTTTATATATTAAGGTATAAATGAACATTAAGATAGATATAGTATGTAAATAAGGGTATGTACATAATATGTCAGGCACCAAGTGAAAAGGAATGTAGTACATGTATGTGAATATTTTAGGAATAATTAGTGTAGGAAACATTCTGTAACTACAGGAATATTGATTTAGAGTATATTACAATTAAGATCAATTAAAGATCATATATTTTTGTGTATATTATACTCTGTAATATGTCTATGTGTTTTATCCCTAAATCTGTCATTACGTCATTATACTCTGTAAGGTCTTGCCGGTATCTGATCACCAAAAACAACTGCATGCACTGTTTATCACTTTTCTCTATATAAACATTTCTATGGTAGTTTAGTGGCGTAATACAGATGTGATGCGTTGACTATAGTGAAATTTGTATTTTCTTGTTATCATTTCAGAGTTGATACAGACTGAGAGACATTATTGTAAAAGATTAAAAACATTACAGATTGTAAGTGCAGTTTTTTTGTCATTGTTTTGTTTTTAATTCTCACACGAATTTTCAAGATCAAAAGTTACACACAAAAAAGCAAAAAAAAAAACAACACCCAAACAAATTTAATAATATGACACAGCTTAATCAGACTGCATGTTTAAGGCAATTTGTTGCTACCATTATTGAGAATGATGAAAATTTATTATACAAGCTGTAGTACAAGACGTTGAAATAGTAAATGTACAGTAATTGTCATGCTTGTAAACAAAAATCTTCTAACTCAAATGTTGATGTACATAGCATTCCTGTTTGTTCATGGTCAAGCTTACATGTTTTTGTGCTGATTGGTGTCTGAAATAATTCACCTTTATATAGAAAATCACCATTGGACTGTTAACTGTATAGGCATAATATGTTATATATAATGTGTTACATAAAACCAAACAAAAACACAACAAAATTTGTTGTGGTGGCACAGTAAATAGTTTAATCTATGACATGGTTTATACTTTTCAGTTTTATCGAGATGGAATGTTACGTGAGTTAGGAGTGACAAGAAGATTGGTAGATAACCTTTTCCCACAGTTAGATGATCTCATTTTTGTGCATATGAACTTTTATCATCAATTACAAGATTTACAAAACAGACGACCGGATCGCCTTGTAGAGGAAATTGGGCCTGCATTAAAAGAACAGGTATTGTTCCAAACCTAATTTTATATTTGACTGATGTTTGCTATGTAATGTCTTAGCATCATATTATTGGTCTGAAAATGGGCTGTGTTAAGTTTAAGCCTATATTGATTATTATTTTATTTTATTGGACTGATATTTGCTGTGTAATGTCATATTTTGTTGCAAAACCAACAGACATTTTTTTTTTCACAAATAAATCCCCCCAAAAAAGATGTTTATTTTTGAGTTGTATTTTACAGTTTTCTGGTGATTCAGCGAATCGTATGAAGGCATCTTATGGAGTTTTCTGTAGTGGCCATCTTGAATCTGTTCAACTGTACAAAGACCTAATGGAGAAGAAAAAGTTTCAATTGTTTATTAGGGTATGTCAACTTGTTTGTGTAATCTTTTCATTGTATTGACAGAGATAAAAAATAATAAAATAATGAATTTGATATTTTTGCAAACTTTTAGTCCATTTGTTGCCTTTTTTGTTGAGAACTTAAAACAATTAAGTGATCAACTAATGAATAAAATGTTTAAAGATATTTGTTCATTACTAAAGTTTTCTCTAAAAATGAATTTTATTCTAAAATATATTGCTGTGATATGAGTATGTTGTCACAGCCTGTGTTTCTGTATTACATTTACAAAGAAGGCTGAACTCTCCTCATCTTTGTCTATATATGTTGTGTGCTTTTACACAAATATTCCTTTTAAAAATGTAGTTGTTATTGTTGTTTTCAGAGTAGAAGCCAGCATCCTTTGTGTAAAAAACGAGAGATTCCCGATTTTATTTTGTTAATAACCCAGAGACCTACAAAATATCCAACTCTCATTGAAGCTGTTATTAAAAGTACTAAAGGTGAGACTCTATTTACATTAACTACAGACGAGGTACAGGTTTCCATGGCCACGTAATTAAGGTTTCTAACTTAGCATAACTTGCCCCTTGACTGCTGTGACATTGTATCCTGTAAGGAATGTTGAATTCTAGCATATGAGGACCCTTTACTCAGATATCAACAATACTAATGGTTCTACCCCTGGGTTTGCTTTTACCTTAAACTGTAACAAGCAATGAGAAAATCAGGCGCCTGAGTTTTTCCTTCACATATAAGACTTTGATTCACCATTTTGTTTTAACAATATCACTTTTATGGAAACAATTAAGTTGGACATTTGCATTTTCAAAAAGGTTTCAAAATTATCCAAGATAATAACTCCCACTTGTAAAATATATTGGCTTAATTAAGGAAATTAAGTAATTTTGACTTAATAATGTATTTAGCAGATTTGGAGTATAAATACTAGTGTATTTATAGTAGAATATTCATGTTAACACTCATATTCATGTACATGATAAATATTAGGAGTACAAATGTGAGTATGTACATTATACTGTTATCATCACATCCTTTATTAGAATGTGTGTTGTTTGAAACAATAAAAATACCATGATACATACAGTAATACTTACATTAATATAGAATATAAACTGTGATGTATGGATACATTGGTGAATTGTTGCGTTTCTGTTTTTTGCCAATGGCATAACACTCCGCCTAAAGAAACTACTGGGTAAATGGTTAAAATTTTTAAATGAACATGCCATGCAGCTTGTTTATGCAAAGTCAAAGATAAATGCAAATTGTCTGATATTGCCTAAGACATTATCTAAGGGACAATACTAAGGGACATCTAAGGCTTTCCTCCCTCAGTTAAGCTGGAATATTGATACTTTACCTTTTCATTGGTAATGTTCATACCTGACCAATAATGTACAGTAAATGGAAAATAATAATTGTGTGGTTTTGTTTTCTTTTAATTAAAAACTAATTTGTTGTGTTTATATTACAGATAAGAAAGATCGTGAGTGTTTATTAAAAGCTCTAGAGTTAAGTAAAGATGTGCTACAGAATGTTGATGCCCAGGTAGCTGCAGCACAAAGGGCTATGAGAATTAAAGATATCTGTAGCAGGCTCGAAAACCGATCATTTGCCATACATAGGTCTAAAAAATTCAGGGTATGTTACATACAATGTAGAACATTCTGTAAACTTGTTGCTGGTAAAAGTTTTGTAAATGAATCACACAGTTTAATGTATTAATGTTAAAGAATGAGTTTTGTTAACTTTTTCACTGTTTGTTATGTTTTTAGATTTAAATATTTTTGATCTGTACTAAGGGTATATTTCTAGATATCCTGTCAAAGGACACCTGAGTTGGTATCCATGTGTTACACATATTCTTCTCACTATTAAATCATTTGAACAATATCGATCTCAGACACAATATTTTATTGATCTAAAAATTTAATAATTGACATTTCTTTACTTCTAGAAATCAGACATCTTAGCAAATAACCGTGTATTATTGCACGAGGGAATGGTTGGATGGAAGAATGCTCGAGGAAAGACGGAGAAAGTGCTGGCTGTTGTGATGAATGATGTGCTTTTCTTTCTTCAAGAAAACAACAAAAATTATTCCTTCTTCTCATTGGATAATAAGGTAACTAGACAGTGATGAGCAATTTTCATAAGTCAAACTTACTTTAGACAGAAAAAGCAAGATTTCATCAGTCAAACTTTTTGCTTTAGACAGAAAAAGCAAGATTTTATTTGTCAAAGACTGGACAGAAGAGCAAAATTTTGTTTAATTAGTATTGCTGTCAGGTACTTGCTATGATGAATATATTGCTGTAGAATTTTAACTGTTTCTTAATGAATTGAAACAAACAAGATGTTATTTCTGTTGTACTTTACCATACCCAATTCATTCAATGCACATCTCTGATTTGCACCTACATGATGTAAGTTTCGTTGCTCTTACAGTCAGTGCTATTGTGGCTGAGTGGTTAAGGTAGCTGACTTTGAATATCTTGCCTCTAACCACTGTTCGTTTAAATCCCACCAGAGACTGGTGTCTTTCTTGTGAGGGGTGTCTGTGGCCAAGTGGTTAAGGTCGTTGACTGCAAACCGCTTGCCCCTCACCGCTGTGAGTTCAAATCCCGACAGGGACTTTAAATTCTTTCATGTGAGGAAGCTATCCAGCTAGCTTATGGAATGTCGGTGGTTCTACTCAGGTGCCTGTTTGTGCCTGAAATAATGCACGGAAGAGCACCTGAGGTTTCCTTCACCAGTAAAGCAGGAACGTCGCCAAATGACCTATACTGTGTTGGTGTGACGTAAAAACCCAATCAAACAAACAAACTTTCTTGTGAGGAAGCTACACCTATAGATTACAAAAGATTTTTAGGATTTCTCCTCTAGTTCAGCTGGAAATGGTTGTATGGCTTTCCAGTGTTGATGTGATTTAATACCCAGTTAAACAAACAACAATATTATGTAATATATGAACATTACAGCATGGTGTAGTGTCGTTGTTTAACCTGCTGGTCTATGTAAATATATGAACATTACAGCATGGTGTAGTGTCGTTGTTTAACCTGCTGGTCTATGTAATATATTAACATTACAGCATGGTGTAGTGTCGCTGTTTAACCTGCTGGTACGGGAGAAACGGGACACACGAGACACAATCGGCATGTATCTCATCAGTCAAAACAAAGAGAATCCCGAGATGTACGAAATTGTGTTCAACACAATGTCTGAAATGCAAAAATGGGCACAAATACTGAGAACTGCAGTGGAAAATTGTCCTGAAGAAGGTATAATAATTTTGCATTTTGTTCAGACTTGCATTGAGTATTTGAGTATTATATGCATGTTTTGTTAATTACTTCTTTGTATTCTTTTGTAAGAAAGTAATAATAGTAACATAGGAAATATTGTCAACAGTAACCAATAAATTGACATGACTGTGTGAACTCATCAAATGGAAACAATTAATATTTACATGATAATATCATAGAAAATTAACTCTTTTGCTGCAGTCAAGCTTGCAATTTGATTATCCTGAAAAGTAAATACAAACTCACCTGTGTCAAGAGATCATGTTTCATCACAGATCATTATTTCCTCATCATTGGAATTGACAAGTCTAATTATAGTTTCATTAGTTTGTCTTTTTTCAAAGAAAAAGTTGAGCTTTTATGATCTTTGCAGCCTCGTTGTTGTCGTGCCAAACCTTTATTCTAGCCCATTATTTAAAAGTTATCAACATGAAACTTGCACAATCAAGACATGGTGCAGTGTTAAACAAGGGGGCATAATTATGAAAGCAATATTTTTGGAGTTATCCCTCTTTTTAATGTAGAATTATTAGCAGATGAGCGTTAACACCACATGCAGTGCTTTTGTTTTGTTATTTTATTGTAAATAAGTTATTACTGTGTATTTTAGAAGAAGAAGTTCCTTCAGAAGCAGAAGAAGAACGTAGGAAAATGGAGGAACGACAGGCACGAGCAAATGCCATCATGGGTGAGTTATCTTGTTATCAGGTAATTATTAAGAAAATGATTCCAATCATAAAGCTGTGATTTTAGAGGAGCGGTGGCCTTGTGGTAAAGGTGTCTGTCTCTCAACCCAGAATCAACCCAGAAAACCTGTGTTCAAGTCCTAATCAGGTCAAGACCATGTTTCTTCATATGACACAAGTATGACACCAGTACTGGTTGGTTCCAGGAAGTAGACTCGAAAGTGATTAATATAAGTTGCAAGAACTTGCTATTAAAGAAAATTATATTCAATGCTGTGACCAGTTTTCTTAACGCTAGCTGAGAAATTGACTTTCCAGTTATACCACTAAGCTCATCTATTATATGGTGTTAGAAATATGCTACAATGGTAATGGTCAGTATGAAATTCAAAAATTTGGCCGAGAAAAGGTTACCCGAACTTGAACCAAAATGAAAATTGAAATATATAGGTATTTTTTTTTACTGAAGTAGTGTTATTTGAATTTAATTGTTTTATCAAGTTATCATAATTGTTATTACAGAGAAGTTACAAAAAAAGGATGAGGAGATTAAGAGATGCTGTGATGATAAAAATAGATTGATGTTAGATCTGTTAGCTGTTTATAATGATACAGAAGATCAACAACAACAACAATCTAATGTAAGTCATTGGATGGATTTAAGCTCATCTGTTTTGAACAAAAAGTCCGGCTATAAGAAAGTTGCAACAGCGTTGTTGTGGTCGTCGTGCAAAAAACTTAAATGCACCCATTATTCAAATATTTCAAGAGTTATTAACATGAACTTTAGAATACTTGCTTATCATAACAAGGCACAGTTGTTTAACAAGGGGCATTATTTTAAAAGCAATCTTTTAAGAGATATGCCCCTTGCTTTTGTTTAAATGTTAATGTTTAAATATAAAGGTTTTTAATTAGTGCTATATGTAACCATGCTCTGGATGCATTCCTTATTTTAGCATAATTTAATCAATGTATATAAATTGGGCTAGATAGTCTGTAAAATGAACGAAGAAATGTTTTCCTGTCTGTGTTTTATTTTAGAAGAAAAAACTTAATTCCTTCTCGAAATGTAGAAATGTAGAACTGTTTTCCTACTTTGCTCGCTTATGTTTAAGTAAACACATGTTAGAATATAAGCTATTGCTGTAAAGATGGATATTGGTAATTCAGTACAGTGTAACCCTATTAAAGTGCGTAGAAGGAAAAAAGCGATGTTTGAATAAAATCTTTGAAATAAGTAAAGAAAAATTATGTTTAACATTTTAGTCACGACCCAGTTCAAGAGACTTTGAAGAATCTACAGCTGAGAATGCTGGTTTACTTCAGGCTGCTATACACGAAGGTAACTTCAGTAATAATAAATATTCTTTCTTCTAACATGAAAAATGATGATTCGCTATCAAACTTGAAGCTACAGTATATTCTTTTCATTGATTTCAAGCCGAAAAATTTATTTTACAAAAGGATCTATGAGTTATTAGGAAAAGGCAAGTGTGAAAATTTGCTTGTTCCATTTTTAGCTCGACTTTTCTATGAAAAGGGGAGCTATCCTACTCGCCCCGGCGTCGGCGTTGGCGTCACACCTTGGTTAAGTTTTTCGTACCACCCCACTTTATTTCAGAAGTATTACAAGTATGGCTTTGAAACTTACCATACTTGTTCACCATCATAACCTCCATCTACAGACAAGAGTACATAACTCTGTCAAGGTTTTTGACAGAATTATGGCCCTTTTTTGACTTAGAAAGTGTATTGAGCTTGGTTAAGTTTTTTGTACCACCTCACTTTATTTCAAAACCATTGGAGGTATTGCTTTGAAACTGACCATACTTGTTTACCATCACGACCTTCATCAACAGACAAGAGGACATAACTCTGTCAAGGTTTTTGACAGAATTATGCCCCTTTTTGACTTAGAAAATACACAGCCTGTGTGAAAGAGATCCACTTGTGACCAACTGACAACATCTAAAAAAGCTTGATAAAATTTATCTATTACTTGTATTATAAGGTAACTATAATACTTTCACATACAAAGTCAAATCTATATATTATGCTGATTGTACAAAAATATACTGCTTCCTTGGCATAGATTTCTTGAAAAATTATGTTATTATGTCATTTACCAAGGTGTTCTGAGTGACGTAAAAATACCTTATTCTCTCAAAGTGGGTTTAATACTATTAAATTTATTTAAGGCTCAACTCAGTTTTTTTTTCTTTCTTACCAGCCCTCTTTTGACTTAAACATTTCAAACTTTGCTGCAGTGTTCAAGGGTATCACACAATTCAGTAAAATAATTCTTCACTAAATATCTTAATGCTCATGGCCATTGTTCACTTTAAAAATACAGAGATTCTTGTATTGCCTTTTACTGCAAAAACTTTTTTTATTGGCAAGCAATAAAAAAGTCGAGCGCGCTGTCTTACGGACAGCTCTTGTTCTGCATTTTTATGAGTTTTATTTATTTATTCAGTTTCTGTAGCAAATTTTATTTATTTATTCAGTTTCTGTAGCAAATTTTATTTATTTATTCAGTTTCTGTAGCAAATTCTATTTATTTATTCAGTTTCTGTAGCAAATTCTATTTATTTTTCAGTTTCTGTAGCAAATTCTGTTTATTTTTCAGTGTCTATAGCAAATTCTATTTATTTTTCAGTTTCTATAGCAGCGTCTCAGTTGACGACGATGTTACAGAGTAATGGGACAAACCTGAGTCGTAGTGTCAGTAGTGTAGGAGAACACTCTAGTAACACATTTACTGCAGTACCTGTTCCTAAACGAGCCGAAACTTTTGCTGGTTTCGACAACAATCATGAGTCAGTTAGAGGTAAGTGATATAAAATATTTGTAATTCTCTAATTATAACTAAGTAATCAAACAGATTACAGATTGTAAGGGTTGTCGTCAAATATACACTAATAATGAGTATAAGCATATGCACTTGTTAGTCCCCTACCGGTTTAACCGGAGGGGACTTTAGGTTTACCCTCCGTCCGTCTGTCCGTCTGTCTGTCTGTCTGTCCGTCTGTCTGTCAGTCTGTCAGTCCGTCAGTCCGTCCGTCCACAAAACTGGATCCCGCGATAACGCAAAAAGTACTGAAAATATTTTTATGAAACTTGATATATGGATAGATGGCAGTATGGAGATTATGCACGTCTTTTTCTTTTCCTCCTATGTTGAAAATTCTGGTTGCTATGGCAACAAATAGTCTAAATATATGGCAAATTTAACACATAAACTGGATCCAGTGATAACTCAAAAAGTACTGAAAATATTTTTATGAAACTTGAAATATGAGTAGATGGCAGTCTGGAGATTATGCACATCTTTCTTCCTGTGTTGAAATTTCTGGTTGCTATGGCAACAAATAGACTGAATTTCAAGATTTATGATTTAAATTTTTCAGCTTTTTCACTATAAGTTCTTTATTTCTTAAGGTGTTTACTTCAAACTTTAAATACAAGTTTCTGGTCAACAACCACATCATATGTGACAAGGTTTACAACTCTAGCACAAAAATTATCAGTATTACCTCCCTTGAACTTAGATTTTTTATGAAAAAAAATGTTGTCTTTTTTAAATAACTTCTTTATTTCCTAATGTATCTACTGCAAACTTCATATATATGTTTCTTATTATCACTCTACATTTTTGAGAAGGTTAAATACTCTAGCAAGACTATTTCCAGAATTATGTCCCCCTTGAACTTAGATTTTTTTCGAGAAACTGGTATTTTCACTCCAACTTCTTCATTCCTTATAGGATTTAATTTAAAATCCCACATCGTAATAATATGACAAGGTTGTATAAACATAATTTCCTTACTAAGCATGGAAACTTAACACATTACTGTGATATAGACAAACTTATTTTATTATGTTTTGTGGTTGATATTTTCAAATACAGACTTCATCCTCAAATTCATTATAAATGGCAATACACAGGAGTGTATGACAATTAAAGAACTTTTTGAGGGACCGGTAGGGGACTACTGTATTGCCCGCAATACTATCAAATGCTTGTTTTTAATGGATATTTGGTTGAAGTTTTGAAAATCAGTTAAAACTCAACTTCTTAATCAAGTTATGTGATAAAATATAGATTTGTAGTCTGGTATATATACAGGAACACAATCATATAAGATGCCTGCCAGCAACCGTTTACTTGACTACTGATCAAAACTAATGATTATTTCACAATAAGCAAAAATCTAGAACATGTCAACATATGATATCATATGTAAAATGCATTGAACATTTTTATAGGTAAAAACACTGACAATGAATACACATTTATAGAATTCAATACACATTTATAGCTTTAAGCTCTTACCATACTTTTTAACAAACCATGCTAATTAAACATTTTGAAAGAAAAATGTGAAGAAAAAGATTCATGTATGAATTATATTTGATCAGGTAAAGTTAAGGGCAGTGATGTACCAGATTTCTCTGTGGAGAGGGAGCAAGGTGGACAGTATAAAGAGATGGACAGTAGTGACCCTGACCTCAGTACACAATACTCAGATCTACCTCCTTCTGGCCTGGCTAATAAGGTATGTTAATCAGTGTGTTTGTCTCTACTTAATAAGACTTCTTTATATATGTAGCTAGCTGCAAGGCCGTCTGGCATGTCAGGCAGATTTCAAGCCAGGTATGCTGGTAACTTTTCATTTTATGACTGACAATTTATGGCACTATTAAGCAAATCTTGAAAAAAGGAAATTAGGTAGGACAGTGACAAAAAGTTGAGTCTTTTTTTTCTAGACATGATTTTTTAAGCATTTTTAGCTCGACTATTCGATAAGAATAAGTAGAGCTATTGCAGTCACCCGAGCGTCAGCGTCGGCGTAACCACTTATGTTAAAGTTTTCGTAATAGTTCAAATATTTTCAAAGTCCATTGACATATGGCTTTGAAACTTTGCACACTTGTTCACCATCATGACCCCAACCTGTAGACAGGAGGAGGTAACTCTATCAAGCATTTTGACAGAATTATGCCCCTTTTTGACTTAGAATTTACGTTAAAGTTTTTGTAATAGTTCAAATATTTTCAAAGTCCATTGACATATGGCTTTGAAACTTTGCACACTTGTTCACCATCATGACCCCAACCTGTAGACAGGAGGAGGTAACTCTATCAAGTATTTTGACAGAATTATGCCCCTTTTTCGACTTAGAATTTACGTTAAAGTTTTTGTAATAGTTCAAATATTTTCAAAGCCCATTGACATATGGCTTTGAAACTTTGCACACTTGTTCACCATCATGACCCCAACCTGTAGACAGGAGGAGGTAACTCTATCAAGCATTTTGACAGAATTATGCCCCTTTTTCGACTTAGAATTTACGTTAAAGTTTTTGTAATAGTCCAAATATTTTCAAAGTCCATTGACATATGGCTTTGAAACTTTGCACACTTGTTCAACATCATGACCCCAACCTGTAAACAGGAGGAGGTAACTCTATCAAGCATTTTGACAGAATTATGCCCCTTTTTCGACTTAGAATTTACGTTAAAGTTTTTGTAATAGTTCAAATATTTTCAAAGTCCATTGACATATGGCTTTGAAACTTTGCACACTTGTTCACCATCATGACCCCAACCTGTAAACAGGAGGAGGTAAATGTATCAGGCATTTTTTTTACTATCAAGCACTAAGAATAGTCGAGCATGCTGTCCTACCGACAGCTCTTGTTAAAGAATATTAATATGAATTGAATGAAATAAATTGTGTTATAATACAATAGGTGTAATGACATGTCTTTGTATATTGAGCAAGCTAATATTACATACAGATGTAGTCCTTTAGATTTATTTTATTTACAACAGACAATTCATAAAACCTGTATTTAAATATATATTCTAGAATTATGACAGTGAGGGAGAAAGTGGTGTAGGGTCATCATCCAGTTTCTACTCCTCCATGTCAACTCTGTCACCAGTGGCAACACCGTCTCAGGATCAATCTAACATTGCTCATCTGCTACGCACACTTAATAGCATTGTTGTAAGTATTTCTCATTTTAGCTTTGGAAAAAAAGCGTTTTTGATTTTTAACAGATTATGTTTAATATTTAATTTAGCCATGCTCACTTCTTATACATTTAAATACCTTGTTACATGTATTTCTGTGTCTTTTAACTAAGTTCCCTTTTCTTATAGACATTTTAATGCCCCCTCTTCTTTGGGACTTATAGATTTGTCATAGTCATACTGTCCGTCTATACACAAATGTGGGGGCGTCTGTGTCCTATGGAGTAGTTGAAGGTATTTCTTGTATTGATGATAATTTTCATAATGTTTTCTCAGCATTTGACGGCAAGTCAGGGAACAGCTGTAGAGACACTAAGAGCACAACTAGCCGAGGCTAACGAGAGAATTAATAAGTTGTCTGTGGACGTCCATGAGAAGAAAAGTGGTTATAGACACAGTCAGCTAGAGGAACTCAGAAACTTACAGGTAAATAAATACTTTACTAATAAAAGCTAAAAAGTTAACCTTTACAGTTTTACACCCCAACCCCATTAATAATAAAATGAATTCCCAGATGGTCACCATTTCCCTTCAAATAAAGATAAGTTTGTATTCTTTAATGCAAGATGGCTGTCCAGCTAGCTTATAGAAGATTCTTGGTTCTAACTATCTGTATTCTTGTACTGGGTGCAACGCAGTGATTAGCATCTTCTTCAACTAGTAAAGCTGGTAAGTTGCCATATGACCTTTGTATTGGTGGTGTTACTGAAAACACATAAAAAATAGACATTTTAGAATAAGTGTAAATTGTGTTACCCTTGTCCATGTGTATGTGTGTAAAAGTATATTCTTTTGTCTGATCCATAACTTCTGCATGCATGATGGGATTTTTAGATAATTTGCTACACATGATCACCTTAAGATATGTCACACGCAAGACTCATGTCCCATGCTCAAAGGTCAAGGTCACTGCTGGGTATTGAACATAATGTATTTTTCAGAAGTCCTTAGTGCTGGTAGAGTTTGTGTTTGGGCCATTACTTCTCCATACATTGTTGGATTTCAAAAGAAATTGGTATGTCACCATAAGTAGGCAATGTGTTATGTGCAAGCTGCACTTGCAGGTCAAATCCTCCTCTGGTTATAACTTTGTCATTACTTGATGGATTTTTGAAGTACATGTATTTAGCAAATGTCTTTACCACTATCAGACTGTGTGTTGCATGCAAGACTCTGTAAGTAATTCAAATATAATTTCCTTAATGCAGCAGATTTAGTATCTGTCTTGCATCTTTTGACTCCTCACAGTATCTGAATGTGAACTCATACATGACTGTTTATGTTGATAGGGAGTTATACAGAAGGAAAAGGAGGACTGGGAGTTGAAGAAAACTCGTGAAAGACGTGACATGGAACAAGAACGTTTACAGCTTGAAGAAATGAAAAGAAATATTGATAAACAAGAGGTAAATTGTTTTCTCTTAAAGTGACATTATGCTTATTTTGTCATTGTCAAGTTGAGTTGAATTAGATACATATTTCAAAAAATTGGCTAATTTATTGGTGATTGACCAGTAATTGATAATTATAAATTTTTAAGATGAAATACAAAATTGCCGAAAATATAAAAAGACTCATGCCACATTTTTTGTTGAATATTCATTAAAAGTTGAATACGAATTTAGGAGTGTAAAGTTGTTATTTACCTGTACCTTCAAGATTTACATGGATGGGCATATTGTCACTTTAAGTTATTGTAATTACCCTTGCATTAACCAATCATACTTTAAAAAGTGTGTACCTACACTTACCTCAGACATTTTGTACCTAGTTGATTTAGATCCCACATGGATCTAGTGTACACCATCAGCTCTTACCAGGTGTATGGTAAACTTATATTCAGTTTCTTACCTTATTGATATTGTAAAAATGTGATATCCCTTCATTAAATTACAGGTCTTCTGGTTGGTTTTCTCTATAAGGCTGATAATAATATATGTATTTCCAATACACACATATTTCCACTCTTGATTCAAATACAGCAACAACATTGACATGTAAGAAGTAAATGTATGTTTTTTAATGTTTTCAGGCTGATTTGAAGCAACAGAAAGAAGAGTTTAACAAAAAGCGTGAAGTGTTACAGAAACAGATAGAACTGTTACGTCAAAGTGGTCAGTTGTCTAAGGACGCCTCATTATCCGATCTTGAGCAGACGGATAATGGTAGCAGTGTGCAATCAAAGGCTGACTTTGTGCCGGGACACCGGCGATCAGCCTCGGCAGAATCATTCAATTCGAACAATGGTGAAACAAACAAAAATGGACCTAGTGCTCCTAAAGAGAACAATTTTCGACCGGAACATAAGTCAGTATCTAAGCTTCAAAGTTTCTCTTTTGGAAGCAAACAAAATTTACCGGTCCATTTATTAAGTGCTACAAATGAACAAAAAATAGGATCAAAAAATGTTCAGCAACTTCCGTCAAAGTTGTTAGCAAGTGGATCCGTTTCGGGTGCTCCTTCGCAGACAACGCTTTCTGGAGCTAAAAGTAGCTCACAGGGAGTTATTGGTCATAATAATAGTCAGTCAACACAAAGCTTGCCACAGGAATATGGAATTCATGGTCAAGATTCATCTTTAGCGCACAGTGTCAGTGCAGGTCAGATTAATCCGGGAACCAATCAGGTGGGAACAAGTGTTACGGTTCCGAAAGGAAACTGGCAGAGTAATCGACCAAAACCTTCCTCAAAGTCTGGAGGATTATCAGGGGTGTTAAAGTTAGCGGAAAAAAATGAGAAAAAGGGAAAGAGCAGTAGTTCTAGTCAAATGGGTGATAAAGGAGCCCAGTCATCGCCACCGCAAAATGAGAACTCTTCACAGCGTCCAAAATCGGGAACTCCAGGGGACCGAAACCCAAACATAAATCATAAATCTCAGAAGTCAGATAGTGATGTTATATACTTCTAAGGGACTTCTTCTATGGTTTGTATCTTTGTCTTCTTTTATAAACTCATTTATTTCCAAATAAATTTAGCATTAAGACTAGAGCTGTCATCGATAGAAGCGATATCGATGTATCATTGATATTTTTTTGTCGATCGATTATCGATTCAAATTTTAGAAAATCGATACTTTCACTAATTACTAAAAGCCTAGAAAATACTAAAATATATAGCCCATACAGTACATTAAAATAGTTTGTTTAAAGTTCCTGTGGAAAAGACGAAAATTAACTCAAAACATAAACGGAAACAGGTGCCCTGTCAAAAGGACATGTCTAAAACTTTACCGTGACTACTAAATGGACAGCTACTGTATGGTAGCTGTATTTTCACCTCAGAAAAAATATATTTCTCTGTGTTGAAAATTATATATACAAAACAATCCAATTTTAAAAAAATAATTTGAAAATAAAAATCCAATATATCTTAATCAATTATCATTATACTTAAACTGTCTTGATTTGAGATTCATCATTCACAATTGTCTATATTTTAGACTATGCCCATATCTTAGCAACACTTTAAAATGGCTGAAACATTAAAATAGTTTGGACAAAAAGAAGGCTAAGATTTCAAAGCCAATTCCAATTTGGGAACATTTTGGGTTTGTTGATGAAAAGGGGGTTGTTAACTCAAAATTAATCCCAAGTTAGATTCAATGTATGACTGCCATTTAGCGGCAATACATTTAACTTGAGATAACATCTTGATCGTAAACAATGATTGGGGCAAGGTTAGTCAAGTGCCAGCACCGATTGTAAAAACAATATAATCAGTAGGCTATTACTTAACAATAAAATAATTTGTAAAATTCCTAACATTTACAAAATAAATAAATAAATATGTATATAAATAAAATAAGCATAACAATAATTTGACAAATCCTTATTCTGTATGAACAGTAAAATTACAAAAATGTCATAATAAGTCAATAAAATTGTATTTCAATATGATAAATTCCTAATAAATTATAGTTATTTCCAGAAATGTATATTTTCAAAATCAAATTCCTTTGCATCCTTATTATCAACTGTGTGTTTTTGTATCCGCTGTGTTCAAGTGTCAATACTTTATGACTACAGTCACTATTATTTAACACCTACATACAAAACTCATGCACAAATTTGAATTTTTTTTATGTAACATTTATGTTTTTCTACTCTAGTCATGTTAACTAGTCATTCTAGTTAATATACATTTAAGTTTGTATTCTGTGTATATATATATATATATATATATATATATATATATATATATATATATATATATATATATATATATTATATATATATATATATATATATATATAGTCAAGTGAGATAGTGATTCCATATTGTAACTTTAGAGTCATTGAAGTGTTCTGCTTAGTGTGATGGTGTATAGATATGGATAGAGGCCAGTAAATGAATAACCACAGTTTATACACAGTTTTATATTTATTTGATAATTTACATATTTCATAGCACTACAAATATATGCAAAATATGATCAGAGGACATTTATGAACAAAACACATCATAAGTTCATGTAAAGAAGGTGTTTTTTTTTTACTAAAATAATTCATACAAATATGAATGTGAAATACAGGTAAATATATATCGATATATCGGTGTATCGTCGATGTTTGCAATCCGATATCGATATATCAACGATATGCCTTTGACTGAATCAATGACAGCTCTAATTAAGACGTGATATTTATAAAATACTATATACTGGTACTTACTTTTTTTTCATATACATTGTTAGTTTCAATTAGCACTTTTTTCCTCACCAGAAGTGAAGAGTTATATGATTCAATAATAGAATTTTACATATAATTTAAGACTTCACAGCATAGTTTCTGAAATGTATCTGTATAAATGATGATGCGTAGATGTTTCTTCTGGTGAGCATTTAAGAGTCATCATTTTTCTTTATATAAGTTTTCTGATAAATAGAGGATATTTGTTTAGTTTAGTGTAAGATCTGATATATTTCACCTAGTGAGCACCAGAAGGTATATTTCACAAGTGGCGCAGCCACGAGTGAAATATGAACTTTTGGTGTTCACATGGTGAAATATATTTCGATCTTACACTAAACTAAACAAATTTTCTTTTTATTATATGCAAAGAAACGTTTTAAAAAGACATTAAACCTAATACTTAATGAAAAACGCGCCAAATAATAATACAATGTGACATCATTTACAACGTCACATCATTAAATTGGTTCCCAGTATGTGCATGCTTGTATTTCACTGAAACAACGTAAGGGGCTGAATTTAAAAACAGTGAAATTATCAAATTGAAAATTTCACTGTTTTAAACAGTGAAATTATCAGTTTTATATCACTGATATATTTCTATAAACCACCAAAAGCATGTTATAAAACAGAATGTTGTTAGAATTTTTTCCTGTCTTGTGTAGAGTTAAGTTTGGTATGCAAAAGCAGTGTGCGGCAAGTGATGGGAAGGATGTTAATATTTAATGTACTAGATATAAAAGCACTACAAAGAACATTTATATTAAATGGAGATTTATCATATTTCAGACTGAAAGAATGTTCAGGACAAGAAAAAGGGTTGGCAGTTAAATACACAAAAGGTCTTGCTTAAATGTATCTTCAAGGTCACATGTAATGAAGGTCAACTAGCTTACATGGCAAGGACTGAAATATCTTGAAGATGAAACAAGAGAATTTCGACTCCTATCTACCTGATAAAAGAAACAACATATCTGTCTTTTTCAAGTGCCTTTATGTTTGTTTTATTTTTACAAAACATAGGATTTTTTTTCTTGTCAATGTGCATACATGTACTAAGTTTTTTGTCAGTGATTGAAGCAGGAAATGCCTGTAAATTAATCACAAATGTTTTAAGTAACAAAGATAAATGGTTTTTTAACCACTAAAGGATAATAACAAAATAAAGGGAGATCTCTACCTAATACACTTACAGTTTAGTTGTAGTAGTTTGATGAATCTTCCATAGATATTGTCATTCAAACTAGATCTTGTTTAACAAAGATTTTCTTTCTTTATTTTCTATTATTTTATGTGTATTTGCCACCTAATTTTGCAACTGATTGCAAAGAAAGGATTTGTATTATTCATATTACATGCTAAATTCACATTATATCAAGTTAAAAAGTGCAATATATTTCAGTTATTTTAATTTCTCCTTATTAATCATGTAAGCGATATGTTTTTATTACCAAATTTTTAGATGTTAAATGATTTATTGGAATAAGATACAAACATATTACACATGTCTGGTGTTCTAGCACACAATGTATATAAATTGTTTTGTACAGATTTCTCAATTTTTCTTCTTATAAAGAAATTTGCATCGTCAGCAAATTTGTGTATACACGTTAACGGAATGAATAGAAATGTTGATAAAAAAAATATCTTGTAAATTGGTGATTTGTGTAAAGGTACTTTATTATAAAAGTTTGAAGTTTACCATTTTGTATCGAAGAGTAGATTTGGGGACTCATTTTAGTCATATAGCCATGATTTTTAGCAATGTTTTTTATTATTATTATTATGATTATATCTATTATTCAATATGCCATACTTGGACATATTTTTTCTGTTCTGATTTAGTACTTTTATAGAACTGAATCAGACTTATTGCTAACAAAAATGGCCTAACATGTGACTGTAATATATATTTATTTATTTTTGTCATGGTCATGTTGAATTTGAAATTATGCAAATTTTGTTTTTTTGGTTTTTCTTGTTAATTATAAAGTAAAGATTTTGATGGAATTAAATTGAAGGTGATACTGCAATATTTCTTGAAGCTCTCAAGACATTTTTAAATTAAAAATGTTATGACAAAAATTGAGTGTATAGCAAAGTATTACATTCACAAAAATTGTTATAAACTTTGATAGAACTTAAGCCAAAATGAGAGGTTTTCATGAAGGAGTTGCTATAGCAAGTACATATATCATTAAACTGCATGTCTAGAGATATAATTATTACTTGTTTTGTTTCAGCTCGAAAATATCTACAATGAACTTTTTAGAGTGCTAGCACTTACTGTGCCTATATTGAATGATTTTTAATTTTTGTCCATTTTAATTTTTTTATTTATACTTACATAAATTAATGGTATTGTAGAATTGTACTGTAACCATAGTGATACAAGTGGTGCGAGAAAGGAAGTGTTTAAATTGTACATGTCCTCAATATTATACCATTGTCTAACTGGTTAATTATATAATAAAAGATTAATTTCATATAAAGGTATTTTCTTAAATTAACAAGGTGTTCAAAATAAATTGATCCATGTAAATGAAATAATAATGAGGCTGACTGATGGTTAATAAATTTTTACCAAAGCAACTTTTTATTAGCAAAGATACATGTTTTGTTGGGATGATTTTCTGTTGATGACTTTAATCAGAAAACCAGAATAAATTATAAACTTTGATATGTCAATTTGAAATGCTCCTTTCATGTTTGTGCCGTAATTTTAACCTCGGAATGGCCACATCGTTACCTGATAAATAAACTTAACAGATATCAGGTACACGTTTATATTTAGCTGCCAAACTGTTTGTAACCAATTGTTCCAAATCTTACCTGTTTCATACTTAATTGTTTGGGGTTTTTTTCCCCAAATTTTTTCCTGAGTAAGAATTGGTTTTGCAAAAGCAAAATATTATCAATTGCAGAGTGAAGCATATGAAATTTATTATTTTTGTTTATAAAATAAAGCAAGTATTTTAATGCTGCACACATTTTAATACATTTTAAATAAAGGTTTGTTCAAAATTTTTGAAACAGTGAAACCGTCTCTGCTCCGATTAAAAAAAAATACATGAACATATTTCAAACTTGCTGTTAGATACAACAATTCAGGATTTTTACATATTTTATGACAATAGTTGATTACAACCAGTTTGATGGTGACGAGAAAAAACTTAATTTATCCACGACTAACACATTCCGTACAAATAGATTTATTTTTGCTAAGAGTTGATGGTTATTTTATTGATGATATTTTGTAATAGAAACTCATCTCAAGTCATACTCATTATTTGTATCACTTTTTCTGAAGCTGCTTATAACCTTGCATGTGAAACAATTTTTCTTGATAATAAATATTAATCTCCTAACAATTAAATATGAATAATTGGACAGAAGTTAAGTATGGCTTTGTTTGAAACAAAAAATGAGCCGTGTTATGACAAAAGCAACATAGTGCGTTTGCGTCCAGCATGGATCCAGACCAGCCTGCACATCTGTGCAGTCTGATCAGGATCCATGCTGTTCGCTTACCAACTCTATTAGAAGTATAGAAACTGATAGTGAACAGCATGGATCCTGATCAGACTGCGCGGATGCGCAGGCTGGTTTGGATCCATGCTGGTCGCAAACGCACTATGTTGGTTTTGTCATGACGCAGCTCAAATGATCTTAAAATATTGAAAGATTTTGACACAAATTGATGTTTCATGTGAAATGTCAGATGCCCGTGGATGTGAACTCTGGGGTTATATAAAAGGGGGATATTTAACTTGATCATGTTTATTATAAGGTCATCTTTTAACATTTTCTTTATGCCAAGAAGTTTGTTTTTGTGTGAGATTTTGAACTGTTTCAGTAAAATATGATAATTTATCATTGAAATCATCAAATGGTATTGTTGTATTATCAGAAATTAACAAAACTTAAATGTTGAAGGCTTTTTTTTTAATTCTTTACATTTAAATTTGGCAACAGCTATAATTGAGAAGGTAAAGAAAAAAAAGAAAAAAAATGAAAACAAAAATGGGAAGGAAAAAAAATAAACAGCAAAAAATGGAGAGAAAAAAAAATGTTGTTGCTTTTTAATTTTGTTTTGTTTTTTGTTTTTTTATGTTCAAATATAGCAAAACGCACTGCTTTGTACATTAAATGCCATTGGATATATTTTGTATTATTTTATTATATTTTCACCTTCTCAAGCTGATGTACCTTATATTAGAAGATTTTTAGACAAAAAATTCAAAGTTATAGATCAGAGATTGGAAACAAAACTTATTGAAATACGACTACAAATGTATATGATTGGTCAAATTTAGTGTGTACAAAAATTGACCAAATTTACTGTCAAAACTTCATTTGATTTTTATCAAATTTTATTGAATTAGTCTTCAAAATCTCACATACTCCCTATGTTTTCATACTTAGCTGTCCACACTTTGTGTACATTTTGTTTTATGTCCAAAGCTGTAATAAGTTTAGTTTAAACATATATACTTCAAGATATAAAAAAATGTACATTGTATTAAATAAAAAAAATAACAAAAAATCAAATGTAAGAAAAAAAAAAGATAAAAATGGTTGAGTAAAGAATGACATGTTGCTATTTTGGGAGGCAAATTGAAAATTCTGTCTTCATTAGTACATTATAATAGCCCTAATATGAGACATGGAGTCCTTGCAATAAATAATAGAGAATTTTAACTTCAATTATTGGCCTCTTTTTTTGCTGAAAATCAGTTATTAATGTCATCTTTTAATTTCATTTTAAATTAAGAGCACATTGATTTAAGAAGTTTGAAATGGTTTGCTTATTTACTGCAAGTACGTTAAAATTTAGGTGTATGCATAATTTTGTAGAAAGATAAATCTGGTTTATTCGAGTTGTCTTTTTTCTAGTATTTTAAAAATGTCTGCAGGGTGGTTGAAATTTGATGAATTATATTGTAATGGTTCCAAATCCACAAAGATTAATTGAAAACTATTTTCATCATTTGTTTTCATTGTGGTTAATATAAACACAGACAGTGTCTCACTTGGGGGATTATAATGTTCACTAATGAAAACTAGAACAATCTTATTAACAATATTTACCCCCAAAAATATTAGATACTTGTACACTTGATACATATTTATTATGAGAATATTATACAATATAGATATAAAGAATCAACTACGATGATATAAACACAAATGTTTAAAGTTTTAGTCTGCAATACCTTTGTTTCTTAATGGTATACTTACTTAAGCCATGTTTTGTATGCATTTTTAAAACACAAAACTTTTCTCATAAATTTGTTTTAAGAATAGCACAGGCTTGCGAATTTTTTATTTGACAGAAATGTCAAGAATTTTTACTCTGATATGAGTCTTATATTTTCGTATATTAATAGAGACTGGTCTCTGTGTTAAAATTTCTTCTTGAAGAAAGTTAACATGTATATTTTTTCGCCTTACTAAAATCATGTATTACATAGTACCATGTAAGTTACATGTGTATGCAATCAAGATAAAATAAAACATATCAGTTTCATAAAAAATCTGTGTTTGTAATTCTTAGCTCACCTGAGCACAACATGCTTCATGTTGAGCTATTGTGATCCCCCAGCATTCGTGGTGGTTGTCAACAATTTCTTTAAATAACATCTCTTCTGAAACCGGAGACTGCACAGTAACCAAACTTTACAGGAATGAGCTTTGGGTTGACAAAGTTGTTCAAATGGTTCCGGTCTGTTGCATAAGTAGGTCACGGGGACAGAAAGTTTCAAAAATGCAAACTTAAAAAAACGTTGTCTGAATGTACATTGCCCAGAGCTTTGATATTTGGTACATGTATGATATCATCTTAAGGTTCTCTAACAGAGTTGTTCATTGTCCCTAGTGTCAAAATTGACCCCACCCCAGGGGTCATAGGTTTTCCTTACATGTATATAGTAAAAACTTAAAAAAATTCTGAATTGACAAGAGCAAGAGAAGAAACACTGAATAGCATGCAGCAAATCTTAGATGGACCGTTTCAATTAAAGTACATGTAAAGCTGCCTTCTGTGATTAGCACGATTTAATTGTCAACTTGTATTTGTTCATACAATCGTGATGTTCAAATGACAAATACCAAAACCAGACTAAATAACGGACTGCGTACAGATTTTTACGAGCATGCGAGCCATTTTAGCTGATTAATAATAGCTTTTGAAAATTATTTTGCTGGTTCAAAGTGACAAAGTATAAAATGAAATATTAAACAGGTTGGTGATTGCTAAATCACATTTATTGTTGTCTGTTGGAATAATAACAGAAGAATGAGCTATATGTTAGCATACTACTAAAGATGCCATATCACAAATGATATAGTATAGTAACTTTAAGTAAATCAGCAAATGGTATATACATATTAAAAGCAATGACTGAACTTTTTGCTGAAAATGTTTAACAAATTAATGTGTAAAGAAAGATCAAATCAAACGTTGATTTCATTCAGAATAACATGCAAATATCTGTGATAACATGCATATGATATCAAAAAAAAAATTCTCTTATTTTGCTCTGTCTGGAAAAATAAGATAGATATTAGTCGGCTACCATTTTGATACCAGTATATCTTCACTTCTTGATTCTATTTAGACTGGATAATAAGGCAGCATTTGGACAAGGGTGATCATAAATCATTACATCACGTACCTATAATACAAAGACGTCCTGCGCATTATTCCAACGAGAGTTATGGTATACTCCCTATACAGAATCACAAAATTACTTTTAATTAAGTCATCACTTAATTCGTAGTTTGATTTAAATTTAACATAGCCAAACTGTCATTCTTTATAAATAACACTTATACAAATACCGGACTGTATTTCTTCCTCTAACGAATTAATAATGTATTCGGCAAATGTCTCAAAAGTCAGGTAAGTAATTGAAAGTGATGGCAGGTCCCCGATCCGTCATATTACCAGCATGGGTTCACTATTACTGGAAAGAAAATATGACCAAACACGGTAGAAGACTTATAGTTGCAAAAAGGACCATGGGCACGAAGAAGGTCCATTACTGCATTTTCTTCTGTGATGGTAAAACTGTCCAAATTCCGGCGACGGAGGGCAAAATTGTTATAGGCCGGCATACCTAGATGTTTAAAAGCTCTAGAAACGACGCCCTTTGTGAAGTAATTTTTGAAACTGGAGATGGTTACCGTCTATCCACATCCACAGCACTCTCTAGATCTAGCACAATGCGACTTTTTCCTTTCCCTAAAACTTAAAAAGTTCTAATTTGATCGCCGATACAAGTCGCGACAAACCTTTGGCTCAGTCATCAGTCAGTGCCTCAGAGGTCTTCCTAAATCATTAACGCGAAATAATTCTTTAGTAAAAATGGGAAAATAAGGGACGTAATGTTCATTTGACCATGGTCGATTTGTGTCGAATTGAGTTGTCGTACAATGCATATTACATATCAAACAACCTTCGTATTTTATCATATTAACGTTGTCTATTATAGTCTTCTTTTTTTCTTTTTTTTCTGTGATATTTTGATACAACATGATGCTTCTTGAAACGAAACGATATATAAGACGTGTTATAACACGTTTATGAATATTTTTTATTCAGTTTTGCCTGAATATAGATGATAATACTTTTAATGCTATTTCCATTTATCTAAATATTTTGTGCTGTAACACAAGATACGCGTATCTTGTCACAATTTTAGAGTCGAAGTAAAAAATATATTATAAATAAAATGAAGTGGCGACTGTGATTTAGATTGAATTTTTCTTCATATTTGTATCTTTTCACTATACAGAGTAATACTGGCGATTTATGAGTAGAATTGAATACCATACTGCATCGTTGTTTATATTGTTTAAAGATTTTTATTTGTTTGGTTGGATTTTACGTCGCACGAACACGGTATAGGTCAGAATAGCGACGTTCCAGCTTTACAGGTGGGGGAGACCTCAGACCCTCCCACGAACGGGCACTTGAGTAGAACAACCGACGTTCCTTAAGGTAGCTGGAGCTGGAACCACACATGAAAGAATTAAAGTCCCTGTCGGGATTCAAACTCACGACGGTAAGTAGCAAGTGGTAAGTTTTCTAGATATCGACATTTGTGTGACAAGGTTAATGTTAGTTGCTATTTCTACTTACAACATAGCAAAGACTTCTGTGTTAAGATACATATTTACGTATTGTTGTCAAAATATTTATGTGTATGACGGGATTTGGTGCGACAAGATGACTGTACGCCACAAAAGGTCAGACAATATGACAGTGCTAATAGCTACTTAAAAAATATTTCATAAATATTTTTATTTTTCCGGGGTTGGGGTGAGGGGGTTACTGATTACTAACGGCCTTTACCTTGCTTACATTTGGAAGTACTCGTATAATTCCGTCACCTTAATTTCAAGAA